AATAATCTTTTAATTGTTTTGTTCATTTTCTATAATTTTATAGACTATTGTCTGTTTTTATTTCTTGTGTTCTTTCATCCAAAATATAATTCTTTTTTTGTAGAAACTTATTATTTTTCTTTTCAAGATTATTGCCCCATCATTCTAGTTCGTTTAAACAAAACTCTGTTGCTATTCGTCCAGTACTTCCCTTATTAGAACAGCTAAAGGTATATGCTTCAATTCTAAACTAACATAATTTCCGGCCTCTCCAAGAATAAAAAGATCCAAATAACCAAATCTTTACTATACAAAGTTCTGGAATCGATAGCTTGACAAAAGAAATAGTTCAATAATTGCTTGAAGAACTGCTTCATTTGCGGAAGCCAAAGATATCCAAGACCTTATTAGTAAGGATGATCTTAAAAGGTCAATAAAAGTAATAATGTTACCCACAACCAGGTCATTCATTGTATAGATTGGCATGTTGATATTCACATGAACTGGTTGAGGGGCTTTTTGGTTTCATCAGTGCGAGATTTGGTTTTACCTTTCTCTTTGAGCGCCTGTAGCCAAAATTTTTTTAAATCCTTACGTGCAATGAATGTTCCTTATCCCCCTGTTTATTAAAAAGAGTAGTGCACAAACTTTTTTTTATTTAACAGTGAAAAAAATCCCAATCAGCGCAGTAACATGACTCCAACTTTATAAAATATAAAAATAATATCACACCTTACCTTTTAAACCCAAAAAGGATTTTTCATCGAGATTCCTTTCGGCGGTTTTAAAAACCGCTTGAACCAATTAGTGCAATGTGACGTCAGTTCTATTCAGATGGTAGAAGAGAATGATCTTGTTCCGGTGTTGGATTAAAAATCTATGATAGGATAAATTTTTTTCGTTTGTTAATATAAGAACTATAAATCGAAGTACACGTGTATATTAGAAGAGAATATTTATTCCTAATAAGACTCAAGTAAAAAAAAGTCTAGCGCTCTTAGTCATATTATATCTTGTATTTTGTTTAATATCTAAAAAAGTTATGCGTATAGTAATTGTAATTAGGTTCTTTTTCACTTTGTACCACAATGGGATATCGTATTCAAACGTGTACGCCAAAATTATTTTCGTGCCCTATAACTAAGTTTTATGAGCGTAATCTCTCGGGGGAATCAAAACTGTTTTTTTTATTCTGCTGATAGGTGCACTTGCAGGCGATAGATAACGATAAAAATCACGTGCTGTGTAACTTGCACGAATTGGGAAATAATCAAGCATTATCAAATAACTAAGTGGCTTAAATAATTCATCTTTAGAAGTGAATTTTACAAGATTTACGGCAAGTACGTGTGTAAACATCTATTTGCGCTCATTTGTAGCATTCTTCGTTACTACAAAGATCCAGCCTTGCGAGTTTAAGGATAAATTCCGAGCTTAATAAATAAGACTCACTAATGTGCCTTCAGTCAAAGATTTTGCTGTTTCGCTAATCAATGCTTAAAAATCTTCAGATAATAAGACATATCAAGGATCAGTAACTTTTGCAACGTAGAAGAAATCGAGAATGGCTATACAGCAAGGTAGGATTCGGTTTTGGGACTCCGATCTTTCTAAATTTCATCTTTAATTGCGGATATTGATTATTATAATCAGATTCCAGACCGGCCTTGCCCCCTCGTCCGAGTGCCACTAACGAAATAGCTTTTGCAGGCTGTGCCAAGACTCCGCCCTCTTGGCTTACTGCATTGGTACATCATTACGAGGGAGATAAAAAACACGCGCACGAATTTTTTTTATCTAGACATTTTGTTGACGGGGCCGAGATTGTTTTAATATGCAAGAAGTGTCACAAACGATTTGCATTGACCACATCAATACCAACATCAACGGAAGAGACTATTAGTCAAATGAATGTGAAACGTGGCATGTGTGTTGTTAATCGAGAAAATCATCTACATCATCTCCATACTACAAATTCAACAAAGACAAATGTAGCTTCTGAATGTTGCTATTGCCATTTCACTGTGAATGTTGTGATTTATGAGCCTTACATTGATGTCCAGATCTTTGATGAGTTGCAAAAAACAAGGCCTATTCCCACGTATTCTAATGCTGCAAGGAGAATTAATGGTGCCGAAAATGAACCAAATATCCTTGAAACCCTCGAGCTTTTATCAAATATAATTAAAACATTAGCTACATCAGATTCATCACGGAAATTGAATTTAAATTCTAAGCAATTTATTTCAAAGATTTCTTATGATAAGGCGAGGTTAGTATATACTTTTTATCTGGAAATTGTTTATGAGCTTTGAATAAATGAGATTTCTAATGGTTTTTCCTCTAGTAAGGCCTTTTTTGATAAGCTTGAGTACAAATTAGAAGATGATCAATATCTTACGCCACCACAGCTTACGGAAGATTATATTATAAAATCAAAACATGTATCAGAAGAAATAGATATGAGGATCATGGATATATCTGAGAGTATGATTTAATCCCATTTTGTCTTACTCTCTTAGGGCTTATACATAATTATTTAATTTATAAATTATAATTCACAATTTATTGATAATTTCTACGATAGAGGCTTCTAGGGGCTGTACTATATCATATGAAGAACCTTATGGAAAATTGGAAACTATTCTTGGAACGAAATGTACATCATTAAATTAATCACGTAGAATTGTTGTACTTGTCATTTATAATTAAATTCACACATTTACATTAAACGATATTTTCCAATGATTGATAGAGCCTCACGATGCTTTCTAGATGTACCGTCAGACGTCTGAAATTATGTAATGGAAAATTTTAATAATTAAGAATCATTCGAATGTGGTATAAAATATCAAAACCCACTTGTAAAATGAAAATATATATACGTAAACATATGCATCTAGAAGTTGCTGATCAGATACATTTCGATTCGAAGTCATAATTTGGTATGCCTCATTAACATCATCTTCACAAAAATTGCCTAAAATTATAGAAAATGAACAAAACAATTAAAAGATTATTTAAAAATAATTGTTAAAGGATTACAAAAAATTATTGT